ATTTCAGGAGAGGAGAGTTATAGAGGAAGGAGTGGAGTCCTCCAGCAGCGCAGAGGATTTCAGGAGAGGAGAGTTATAGAGGAAGGAGCGGAGTCCTCCGGCAGTGCAGAGGATTTCAGGAGAGGAGAGTTATAGAGGAAGGAGCGGAGTCCTCCAGCAGCGCAGAGTATTTCAGGAGAGGAGAGTTATAGAGGAAGGAGCGGAGTCCTCCGGCAGCGCAGAGTATTTCAGGAGAGGAGAGTTATAGAGGAAGGAGCGGAGTCCTCCAGTAGCGCAGAGTATTACAGGAGAGGAGAGCTATAGAGGAAGGAGCGGAGTCCTCCAGCAGCGCAGAGATTATTACAGGAGGGAGTTATAGAGGAAGGAGCGGAGTCCTCCGGCAGCGCAGAGTATTACAGGAGAGGAGAGTTATAGAGGAAGGAGCGGAGTCCTCCGGCAGCGCAGAGTATTTCAGGAGAGGAGAGGTATAGAGGAAGGAGCGGAGTCCTCCAGCAGCGCAGAGTATTTCAGGAGAGGAGAGTTATAGAGGAAGGAGCAGAGTCCTCCAGCAGCGCAGAGGATTTCAGGAGAGGAGAGTTATAGAGGAAGGAGCGGAGTCCTCCAGCAGTGCAGAGTATTTCAGGAGAGGAGTTATAGAGGAAGGAGCGGAGTCCTCCGGCAGCGCAGAGTATTTCAGGAGAGGAGAGTTATAGAGGAAGGAGCGGAGTCCTCCAGCAGTGCAGAGGATTTCAGGAGAGGAGAGTTATAGAGGAAAGGAGCGGAGTCCTCCGGCAGCGCAGAGTATTTCAGGAGAGGAGAGTTATAGAGGAAGGAGCGGAGTCCTCCAGCAGAGCAGAGTATTTCAGGAGAGGAGAGTTATAGAGGAAGGAGCGGAGTCCTCCAGCAGCGCAGAGTATTTCAGGAGAGGAGAGTTATAGAGGAAGGAGCGGAGTCCTCCAGCAGTGCAGAGTATTTCAGGAGAGGAGTTATAGAGGAAGGAGCGGAGTCCTCCAGCAGTGCAGAGTATTTCAGGAGAGGAGTTATAGAGGAAGGAGCGGAGTCTCCAGCAGTGCAGAGTATTTCAGAGAGTCTCTTGGATGGACAGTAGTGGATGTAGGGGGAGGCTCATGCTGCATCCATCCTCTGTAGAGAATAATCCAGTATTGGTCCTTCTTGCCGTTTCTTTCCCAATAAAGACATTTCAGGTCATTTGCTCAATGAAGTGATTCAGGTCATTTATTTGTCACCTCCGCCTCCCATCCAGCATTGCTCATCCGCTCCCTTGGCCTCTGAATGGAATAACAATGTAATGGGATCAGTCTGACATTTTAATACCTTTAAATGAAATAAGTGGACGAAGCTCTGGAGGAATCATTACAACAGAGCGCCTTTAAACAACAATTGGCTGATTGAAGACTCTTGTGTAAAGACCGGTCCATGCAGCCAATCAGCTTCTTCCTTTCCACTGTCTGATTGACCTGATTGGTAACATTCGTACCTGCTCCTTGGATATTATTTTCTTTCTCGTTTTTTTTTTTTTTAATTTCATGAAAAAATAATGCGTTATGTGATCTGCTGTAATAATGTGTCGGTACACCTGTGTAACACTGGAGGGGAGGAGCCGGTACACCTGTGTAACGCTGGAGGGGAGGAGCCGGTACACCTGTGTAACGCTGGAGGGGAGGAGCCGGTACACCTGTGTAACGCTGGAGGGGAGGAGCCGGTACACCTGTGTAACGCTGGAGGGGAGGAGCCGGCACACCTGTGTAACGCTGGAGGAGAGGAGCCGGCACACCTGTGTAACGCTGGAGGGGAGGAGCCGGCACACCTGTGTAACGCTGGAGGGGAGGAGCCGGCACACTTGTGTAACGCTGGAGGGGAGGAGCCGGCACACCTGTGTAACGCTGGAGGGGAGGAGCCGGCACACCTGTGTAACGCTGGAGGGGAGGAGCCGGCACACCTGTTTAACGCTGGAGGGGAGGAGCCGGCACACCTGTGTAACGCTGGAGGGGAGGAGCCGGTACACCTGTGTAACGCTGGAGGGGAGGAGCCGGTACACCTGTGTAACACTGGAGGGGAGGAGCCGGTACACCTGTGTAACGCTGGAGGGGAGGAGCCGGTACACCTGTGTAACGCTGGAGGGGAGGAGCCGGCACACCTGTGTAACGCTGGAGGGGAGGAGCCGGCACACCTGTGTAACGCTGGAGGGGAGGAGCCGGCACACCTTTGTAATACTGGAGGGGAGGAGCCGGCACACCTGTGTAATGCAGGAGGGGAGGAGCTGGCACACCTATGTAATGCTGGAGGGGAGGAGCTGATACACCTGTGTAATACTAGAGGGGAGGAGCCAGTACACCTGTGTAAGACTGGAGGGGAGGAGCCAGTACACCTGTGTAAGACTGGAGGTCAGCTTTATGATTCCTGTGTTATTTATTTCAGGTACTTATATATCGCCGTCAATTTATGCAGCACTTTACATATATATTGTACATTCACATCAGTCCCTAACCCTCAAGGGGAGTACAATCTAAGGTCCCTAACCCTCAAGGGGCATACAATCTAAGGTAAGGTACCCTAACCCTCAAGGGGCGTACAATCTAAGGTCCCTAACCCTCAAGGGGCGTACAATCTACGATCTCTAACTTACATTCATACATACACATACTAGGGCCAATTTAGACAGGAGCCAATTAACCTACCAGCATGTCTTTGGAGAGTGGGAGGAAACCGGAGTACCCGGAGGAAACCCACACAGGCACAGGGAGAACATGCAAACTCCAGGCAGGTGGTGCCGTGTATTGAGCACTGATCTAATACCTGACACCCTTCCATACTTTGCGTCTGTGCCTACTCCCTCCAGTATATAACACCAGTACCCTTGTTTTGCATCATTGTAGCTTTTTTTGTGGCTGTTCTATGTTAAAAACAAGCGGTGGTCACACACCAGCTAAATATTCAAATTTAAGCGCACGTGCCGTACCACCTGGGGGGGATGTACGTAAAATAGATTTTTTTCTTCCCCGATACAAAATGGAACTATGTGCCACTTCTAGATGCGATTGGTCCTTAGTTTTTGATCATTAAAGCCGGCTGTCTTGTTGCTAGGGACTCAGCATCAGGTAGGAAGGACACTGGCGTCCCGGAGACCAATTACATACGTGCCGCGTCTAAGCCTCCGCCGCCGCAGCCGGCCCCTCTCAGATTTAGCTCCTGTCGACCTCGGGGCTCTGGGGACGCTTTAGCGATTTTGCTCTCTGTGGGGAACATAATCCTTGCGGAGACTATGACGGGATTCTGCCTGTCTGGCGCTCTTATCTCGGCTCTGCGCAGACGGCTGTCCAATTTGTCCTGCACGCCGCCGCCGGATCTGCCTCTCTGCTAAATCTCACTTCTTATCAAAGCATCGAAGTTTGCCGATAATAACCGGACAGGACGCGCTCTGCTTTCCGAAGGGAGAGGGATATTTGTGTTTGTAGGCTGTCGCTGCGTCCTAAATATTCTGATGTATTCGCGTCGCTTTGCCAGCCGCCTGCTAGCAGTAATTAGGAAGGAGTGGAACAATTTTGGCGAAATTGACTTGGCTGTGAAATGATGGGTTCCGCCATCACCTTAATTCTCTCTTTTGCTGCTTCGGTGAAAATTTTTTTTTTTCATTTAGAAGATTGTTTTGTTTTTTTTTTCATTGTGACAGACTCTAGCGCTCCTCTGATAAGTGACCTGTGTGTTTTCAGAGGCAGTTAAAGTGGAACTTCACAGCATCTGAGCGCCACAAACCAAAAGCACTTTAATATTCAAAGCACACTCCCCCATCCATGTCAACATTCTTTATTTTGCTGAGAAATCACGTTGAAAAAACACCCCCCTAGCATTTTGTGGCCGTGGCCATCTTGAGTAAGTGCAGATGATTCATGGAGCTTTTACTTCTTGGGATTCATCAGCCCTTAGCTCAGGCATGGAGACAGGAGGTCATGCTTAGCTAAGAAAACCCCTCCTCAGGGGCGGACTGACAACTCATGGGGCCCGCAGGCAATAGAGGATCATGGGACCCCTATGTCCTTGCCCAAACTCAAAAAAGCCTATGTAAAAGGTACCAGGGGCATCTCATGGGGCCCCATACTGACCCAGGGCCCTCAGGCAGTGCCCGAGTTTCCAAATGGTCAGTCCGCCCCTGCCCCTCCTCCCTTCCTGAATTCTGGGATGTACGACGTCATTTGTTTAGGCATGGAAACTAGGAAGTAACTGAAGAAGCGTAATAAAAAAAGTCCAAAATCTGGAAATATGGTATACGTTCCTATATATTTACTAATGCTAGCAGCAGAAGAATTTAAAATAGTGTTTTCCCTTTCGGTCCCTCATCGTGAATTGGTGGAGAGTTGTCACCTTCCACCATTTCACGATGAGACAGAAAGGGACAACACTATGTTAGAGGTACTGGCCAACAGGCCAACGCAGCACTCCAGGCCCGGGTGGCTTTTTGGCCTCTTATTATAAGAAGTTTGCCCATTTGCTATCACCTCATTTACTTTTTTCGCTGCCCTACAGGGCTGGACCCACCTGAATGAGGACTTAAATAAGGCTCATATATGTCTACTGCCAAAGCCGGAGAAGGATCATAGTGATGTGGCTGACTACAGCCCAGTTTTTCTCATTGACATAGACTTTAGATTGACGAAAATCTATGCTAATCGGCTTGACAAATTTTTGGCAAGATATGTCCATGTGGACCAGGTGGGGTTTGTCCCAGGGTGACAGGCTGCAAATCAGATTCGCCGGGCCATAGACCTTATATCTCTAGTGAGCTTTAATTGGGATGGATTAGGTACTAGATGGGGAATGTTACTGTCTTTGGACTTGCAAAAGGCCTTTGATTCCCTGTCCAGAGATGCCCGTAGCGAAAAGGAAGAAAAAAGAAATATAGCACAGGGCAGACATGACTAGGTTAGGAGGGGGATAGGAAAGGGTTAAGGAAAAAAAGGTGGGAGTTAGAATATGGGCAAGTTACCTGATTGGTGACGGGCAGGGGGGTGGACTGACCATTTGGAAACTTGGGCACTGCCCGAGGGCCTGGGGTCAGTAGGGGCCCCATGAGATGCCCCTGGTACCTTTTTCATAGGCTTTTTTGAGTTTGGGCAAAGGCACAGGGGCCCCATGATCCCCTATTGCCCGGGGGGCCCCATGAGTTGTCAGTCTGCCCCTGGTGACGGGTGTGCAGGGTGGGGCCTTCGACACCTTTGGGTGTGGTTGGGGGTGTCCTCCAGATCAGTGCAGGAGGAGACAGCGGTGGAGCGAGCTTCCCTCCCGTCCTCCCTTGGGGTTTTGTGTGGGTGTTTTACGATTCCCGGTTTTGGTTTTGGTTCTGGTTCCGGGGGTGGTTGCTGGTCTTTGGAGGTGGCACTTTTAAGCTAAAGCTAATGGTTGGGACCCATCGGCAGTATGGTGTGCCCGTGTGCATTCCGGTTAACCAAGGTTTATTTGGAAAGTGGTGGCTCTGCACTGTGGATGGTATGTTTTGTCTCCGAGCCGTTGCGTTGCATCTGGAGGCCTAGTTATCATATAGGTTCCGCAGGGGGATATCGGTTTTTTTGTTTGGTGCCTTCGAAGACCAACAACTTCTCCTGTATGTTTCTGTTTTAAGTATTGTTTTTTGTGTATTGAAGTTGAATTGTTAATAAAAGGCCGTGTTGGCCATTTTACTCCAACGGTTATGGTTTTCCTTTATTGGAATGTTAAGGGGGTATGTGAGAAAGAGAGACAGAGGTGTAGGGGGTCTTAACTAGCATATCTCTTATGCAGTAGTCATGTCTCTTTCTGTTCCACATACTGCGGAAGTGGAATTTTGGACATAAATTCCTCTCCCTACTTAGCATTTTATACTCAAATCCCCCAGCTCATACTATGGCCCCCAGCTCATATTATGGTCCTTATTTTATGTCTAGGGGTTTGGAAAGCAGAGATATACTTACCTAATCTGCCGATCTGCAAGACTAGTCCCTCGCTGCTCCTGCCCCCCGAACGCTAGCGGTCTTGTGAATGGGCTGTTCCTGACGTCATCACACCCCAAAGAACGCTTCCCAACGTGGGACAGCAGGAACAGTCCACCGTTGGACATGGGGGAGTGCTGTTTTCTGGAGGATTGGAGGGCAAGGTAAGCACAGCTTTTCTCGGAACCCCTGGACGAAACTATCAATTAACCCATGCTGTGCGGGCACAGCCCCACTGCATGGGAAAATAAAAAAAGTTTTACTGGAGTTCTGCTTTCAGTATGACTCTGTTATTGGATGTTGTGTCAGGAATGCAATCATGTGGACTTCTAAACTGACCATAAGGTCCATTTTTAGCAGGTAAAACCTCAATTGCTTGGTATAAATGAAGGAGCTGCATGCCATTTTTTAGGGACGCCACGCATAGGTTCAATATATAAAGTATTTTTTACGGAAGGAAGAGATTTTCTAAAATAATGATGAGATCATTTTCCATATGAATAGAGCTTAGTGCTGTTCTCTTGTTATTCAGACATACTGTATTCTTTCTTTCACGGAGCGGACTCTAGCGATGAATGTATTATTGTCTCTGATGTATGATCCCTCCATCTTTTATTCTTGTAGAAAGTCTCTATTAATCTTCATTTCACGCGGTTGTACAGCAGACAGTGACCCATTTAGCAGCAATTTTTTTAGTTTGCCCCAACAGCTACCCAGACCGGAGTGCTATGGTCTGGCATCTCTCCTTGTTGTGTGCCATATGTGGCCAAAAGTTTGTGTGTACCTGACTACACCATATCTACTATATGGCCAAAATATGTGGACACTCCCTTCCAATTGAGTTTAGGTGTTTCCAGTGAAGGGTACCGTTATTGCTTCGGCATATAAAGCAGTTGTAGGCAATTGTGCACTTCGTACAGTGTGCTGAAGGACCTTTTGTGTTCCAGCATGGCTGCGCCCCATGCACAAAATCCAGCTTGATAAAGCTAGATCGGTTTGATGTGTTTCATACGGAGAAACCCGAGTGGCCTACACAGAGCCCTAACCTCAACCTTTCTGAATACCTTTGGAATGAATTAGGATCACAATTATGAACCAGGTCCTCTCTCTTCCAACATCAGTACCTTATTTTACATTGGTGGTCATTAGTTCCTTACATTCTTGGTCACAGATGAGGTGCTCCTTACATAGGTGGTCAGTGGTGAGGTTCCTTCTTAGATTGGTGGTAAGTGGTGAGGTTTTCTCTTTCATTGTTGGTCAGTGGTGAGGTTCCCACTTTCATTGGTGGTCAGTGCTAAGGTGCTTCTTACATTGTTGGTCAGTAATGATGTGCCCCATTTATTCATGGTGACTAGTGAGGTGCTCCATACAAAGGTGGTCATTGGTTAGGTGCCCACTTACATCGGTGGTCGTTAGTGAGGTGCTCCTTACATTGCTGGTCAGAGGCAAGGTGCTCCTTACATTGTTTGTCACACGTGACGTGCTCCTTACATTGGTGACCAGTGATTTTGGTTCCCCCTTACATCACTGGTCAGAGATGAGGCACTCCTTTTATTGGTGGCCAGTGGTAAGATTCCCCCTTACATTGGTAGACATTAGTGAGGTATACCTTTACATTGCGATCAGAGGTGATGTGCTCTTTACATTGTTGGTTGCAGGTGAGACGCTCCTTTCCTTGGTGGCCAATAATTAGGTTCCCCCTTCACTGGTGGTCAGTGGCTAGGTGCCCCCTTGCATTGGTGGTCATTAATGAGGTGTCCCCCAGGCTCTTACACTGGTCAAAGGTGACGTGTTCCTTACATTGTTGGTCAGAGGTGAGGCCCTCCTTACATTGGTGGCCAATGGTTAGGTTCCCCTTACATTGTAAGTGGTTAGGTGCCCCCTTACATTGGTGTCACTAATGAGGTGTTCCCTATCACTGTGGCCAGAGGTCATCTGCTCCTTTCTTTGTTGGTCAGAGGTGAGGCGCTCCTTACATTGGTGGCCAATAGTTACATTCCCCTTAAATTGTTGGTCAGTGTTAAGGTGCCCACTTAAATTGGTGGTCATTAATGGTGTGTCCCCTAACACTGTGGTCAGAGATTAGGTGCTCCTTACATTGTTGATCAGAGATGAGGTTCCCCCTACATTGGTGGTGAGTGGTTAGGTGCCCCCTTACATTAGTAGTCATTAGTGAAGTGTCCCTCTTATACTGTTGTCAGAGGTGAGGTTCTCCCTACATTGGTGGTGAGTGGTTAGTTTCCCCCTTACATTGGTAGTCATTAGTGAAGTGTCCCCTTATATTGTTGTCAGAGGTGAGGTGCTCCTTACATTGTTGATCAGAGATGAGGTTCCCCCTACGTTGGTGATGAGTAGTTAGTTTCCCCCTTACATTGGTAGTCATTAGCAAAGTGTCCCCCCCTTATATGGTGTTGTCAGAGGTGAGGTGCTCCTTACATTGGTGGCCAACGGTTAGGTTCCCCCTACACTGGTGGTCAGTGGTGAGGGGCCCCATTTTCTAGTGTTCCTTCCAACCACAGCAGTACTAGTATTTCTTTTGTCCAGTAAATGATTCCAGCTAGTAACATCTGTCAACCTTTACTGCAAGTGTTGATGACAACTGAGTGAGACAAAGTTTAGTTTATGTTCAAGATCTGTCATTTTCCCAGACAGAAGGCTACAGTAATACAGTGCACAGGCTACAAGTACCAAGTCTCCAAATTGCTGCCTGTCCGCTCCCAGGCATCCATGCATGGCTACCCCACGCCCCACCAGTCCACAATGTAATTTTTGATATCTCTGCACATCGGGGTGGAAGTGTCTATTTCTGGGCTGGCAGGACTAGTAGGTGCTCACAGAGCCTCCCTTCCAAACCACTGCCTCAGATAGGTAAGAAAATAGCAGGTGGGGGTGGCAGCATGGCATAGAATTAGGATGCGTGAACCTAAGTGGTAGTATGTGCAACATAATGGCACAGTCATGTGGGCTAGGTGGCCCTAAATACGGGGGGGAACATGTAACATGTTCCAAAAGGTGAACTTATTCTTTAACCACTCGCCCTCCATAGGATTTACCCCCCCCCCCCCCATCCTCCGGACCAGGCCATGTTTTGCGATACAGCGCTGCGTTAATTTAATTAACAATTGCGCGGTCATGCAACACTGCACCCAAATGAATATTACGTCCTTTTTCCCCACAAATAGAGCTTTCTTTTGGTGGTATTTGATCGCCTGTGCGTTTTTTTTTATTTTTTGCGCTATAAACAAAAAAAGACAATTTTGAAAATAAAAAAAACACTACTTTTGACTTTTTGCTATAAAACATATCCAGTAAAAGAATTTAAAACATCACATTTATTCATAAATTCAAGCCAAAATGTATTCTGCGACACGTCTTTGCTAAAAAAAATACCAATACGTGTAAATTGATTTGTTTATGTGAAAGTTATAGCATTTACAAATGGCGGTATAGATACTGACATTTTTATGTATTTATTTTTACTAGTAAATCAGCGACTTAAGCGGGACTGCGGTGGGCATTGGGGAAGGGGGAGAACTGACTAACTGCCACTGACATCCCCAGTGACACCAATACAGTTATCAGTGCTAATGAAAGCACCGTCACTGTACTAATGGCACTGGGCAGGAAGGGGTTAACATCTGAGACATCAAAGGGTTAACTGTGTGCTGTGTGTGTTTTACTATGTAGATATGCTGCTTTGTATTGCTCTGCTGTGCAGAGCAATACAAAGCAAGCCTGTTTGTGCTGATAGGGGAGAGATCTGTATTGTTTACATACAGACCTCTCCCCTGTCAGCTCTACCGACCATCACTGAGTGGCCGAGAATTGGCGGCTGGGACCCAGTGATTGACATGCCAAGGAGTAAAATGCGGCACAGGTAGGGAGCACACGCCCCTCCCACCTTGGCGGGAGATAAGACACTCACCTTCACAGCTCTGAACATCCCCGGGAACAAGAGTCAGCTCTGCATACACCATCAAGCAGCCCGCAGCCTCTCTGTTCCCACCGAGTCCCCATGCTGAATGTGTCCTTTCTTCCATCACTTCTTTTAGGGGGCTAAAAGCGCTGCCCCCCTGAAAAAATGCTGCCCTAGGCAAATGCCTTGTTTGCCTTGTGGTAAATACTCCCCTGTTGTTGGTATCAGTGGATGAAACTAGTGCCCCAAAAAGGCCAAGCAAAGGTCCGTAGTGTGGAACCACTGCTTTAAAGCTACAGACAAAGTCTGGTCATTGAGTTTGGACTGTGCGCACTAATGTGTGCCTGGCTGCATTAATACCTGAATAGGGAAGAGAACCGTGGACAAATCGGGGGGGGGGGCCTGTTAGCGGGTTACGCTACATTTTATATCGCCTTCCTTTAAAGTCCGTTTCTCAGTATTAGGGTTTAAATAGTTACATAGTTTGGGAAAATGTCGCCAGCACACCGAGGATCACCAATATGGGTCCAAAAGCTTTAATAAATGATCACATAGTTACAGCGAGGCAACGTTTCGGAGTCTCACAGGACCCCTTCATCAGGCATGTGATGTGTCATCATGTGACCCCTGATGAAGGGGTCCTGGGAGAGTCGGAAACATTGCCTTGCTGTAACTATGTGATCATTCATCAAAGCTTTTGGACCCATATTGGTGATCCTCGGTGTGCTGGTGACATTCTCCCTCGCTGATTCTGTCAGTTCCAGCCGAACGGTCGCTGCAGCGCCCACTTATACACACAGCCATTTGTAACGCAGGAACGTGTGCGTTTGGATTGTACACTTGCATAGTTTTTGGGAAAAAGACGCACGTCCATCGAGATCCTAACCTTGGTAGGATTAAACCTAGGATTACCGCACTTGCAGTAGTTGAAATTCACCAGAAACACGCGGCGTCGGTGTTGTATACAAAAGCGAAGTCGTGTGCGATTTTTCAAGTGGAGGAGACTTTATAGAGCCAACGCCATCAGAAAATCTGTGTTCCGTTTTCAGAAGCTGGTAAGCTACATCCCCTCCGCCGTCGTACAGGCGTCTTTATCCTATAAGACGGAATAAATCGCTCTTTTAAGAGGTACACCGCCGCTGGAGGATCTAAAATTGAATCTGTGTGTTTACCAGCCAGGCAGCTGTGCAGAAACACACAGTGTAACATTTTAATATTTTAGGCAGGCAATGAGGCAAATGATGAATCTGTCTAGACGCTGAAACGACTTTTCAGACACCGAATTATTTGAAAGGCTGGAGCAAATAAAACGGGCTTCTCCGGCAGATTACAGCATGTCACTTAGTTTAAATTTGCAGCAAGACAGCGCATCATCGAAGAGATTGCCTGCAAGAAAAATAGCCCCCTCGACTTATCGGCTGCCGCCAGCGGGAGAGGTTCGGGGGGGGGGGTGGCGGGCAGCAGCCTCTGGCGTTCGCTGACAGTTCAGTCCCCTGCCAATCAATAACCCAGAGCTTTTTATTCCTCCACCGCGCGTTATCAAACTGCCACCTCGTTCTTTGTCCCCGCGGCGGGCGGGAGGGGGAAAGTGTTACGCATCTGTCTTTCTGCTGCAGATGACAGTCGATTACCAGGGCAAAAAAAAAAAAAAAAAGTTTTTGACAACTTGCTAAAAAACTTGATCTGTTTGTTAATGGGCTAAACCACTGAACACTCCTGTACGGAGCACCTCACTAATGGCCACCAATGTAAGGAGCACCTCACTAATGGCCACCAATGTAAGGAGCACCTCACTAATGGCCACCAATGTAAGGAGCACCTCACTAATGGCCACCAATGTAAGGAGCACCTCACTAATGGCCACCAATGTAAGGAGCACCTCACTAATGGCCGCCAATGTAAGAAGCACCTCACTAATGGCCCAATGTAAGGAGCACCTCACTAATGGCCACCAATGTAAGGAGCACCTCACTAATGGCCACCAATGTAAGGAGCACCTCACTAATGGCCACCAATGTAAGGAGCACCTCACTAATGACCACCAATGTAAGGAGCACCTCACTAATGGCCACCAATGTAAGGAGCACCTCACTAATGGCCACCAATGTAAGGAGCACCTCACTAATGGCCACCAATGTAAGGAGCACCTCACTAATGGCCACCAATGTAAGGAGCACCTCACTAATGGCCACCAATGTAAGGAGCACCTCACTAATGACCACCAATGTAAGGAGCACATCACTAATGGCCACCAATGTAAGCAGCACTTCTCTAATGGCCACCAATGTAGAGAGCATATCACAAATGACCACCAATGTAAGGAGCACCTCACTAATCACAACCAATGTCAAGGGGCATCTCATTGACCACCAATGTAAAGAAGCACCTCACTAATGACCACCTAATACAAGGAGCATCTCACACTAAACCACCCAATAAAAAAGAGCACATCACAACTGACCACCAATGTAAGGAGCACCTCACCACTAATCACCACCAATATAAGGAGCACCTCACTAATGACCACCAATGTAAGCAGCACCTCACTAATGACCACCAATGTAAAGGAAATCTCACTAATAACCACCAATGTAAAAAGAGCACTCATTAATGACCACCAATGTAAGGAGCACCTCACCACTAACCCCCAATATAAGGAGCACCTCACTAATGACCACCAATGTAAGGAGCACCTCACTAATGACCACCAATGTAAAGGGAAACCTCACTAATGACCACCAATGTAAAAGCTCCTCATTAATGACCACCAATGTAAGGAGCACCTCACCACACCCGCCAATATAAGGAGCACCTCACTAATGACCACCAATGTAAAGAGAAACCCACTAATGACCACCAATGTAAAAAAGCACCTCACTAATGGACTAGCACAGTCATGAATGAAATCTTCCTACATAAGCTGTTTCTGTTCGTCTGAAGCCCTCTCTCCTCTACAGCCTTCTAAGGTACACAGTTTTGTTGGTTTTTCTCAGCTTCCAAAAGGCACAGGGCAGAGATCTGATTTCAAACTACACAGCACAGAGCTGAGTGTAATCTGAGACCTGAGTGGAGGGAATGGACCCCCACATTCGCATACAGTCTCATGGGGGGGGGGCAATTCCTAGGTTTGCCTGTATCAATAAAAACTAGCAGAAGTAACTAATTGAGATTGTAGAGAAAGGCCAGAGCAGAGAGGATCCACACTATGTGCCATAGACTGAGGCAATAACACACCATATGAGGATATGCTTTGTTCATTTTTCACTTCAGGAGTTTACAACCACTTACAAGCCTTCCTATTGATTTCACAGTTCATGGTTTCCCTGTGTGGGTTTGTTTACTAATAAACCATCAGACTCCTGCCTAGGCCTCCTATAGAGAAAGGGGCAGATGGCAGCTGAAGTCGAGAGGCTAAAGCTGTCGCTGTGCAAAAACAAAAAACAATTAAATAAAAATGAAACACAAAATTAAATTTAAAAAAAAACAGATCAAAAACAATTATGTGTAAAATTGAAAATATTTTTCTGTACAGTTGCTCAACTCCAAAAAAAAAAAAAAAAAAAAAAAAGAGGTATATTTTGAAAACATATAGAAATAAATATAAAAAAATGATTAAGGCACGCATAATAGGCCTACTGTTAGGGCATGAGTTATGGGAGCCATAAACGGGTCGAAAATCGGCCAATTTTTAATCCGAAAGAATAATCGGCCGATTTTCGCACTGTTAGTGGTTAATTGGTCGGCCATTTTTCGGGCTTTTTTTATCGGGCATGTTGAATTTTTGATGATCGGTCGATTTTCCCGGCAATGATGGGCAAAGCGGCCGATCGTTTTACCGATATAAATTCTGCGCATGGGCCGTGACCTGCAAGAAGAAGAAAAAAAAAGAAGTCTGCAAAAAATAAGAAGAAGAAAAAAAAAGAAAAAGAAGAAGAAGAAGAAAAAAAAATAATAATAATAAGAAAAATAATAAGAAAAAAAGAAGAAAAAGAAGAAAAAGAAGAAGTACAGGAAAAAGAAGAAGAAAAAGAAGAAGAAGAGAAGAAAAAGAAGAAGAGAAGAAAAAGAGAAGAAAAAGAATTCCAGTCTGCTATTATATTTTATATGAAAAAGTCTTGCGGTTGCAACAATGTATCCATTTGTATCCAAATAAAAACATCTGTATCCAAAATGGATACAAATGGATACATTGTTGCAACCGCAAGACTTTTTCATATAAAATATAATAGCGGAGCTCTCTGCAAGGGACAGAAGTAATTATGGGGTTAAATGCCGGCCGAAGACGGGATGAAAATCGGCCGATTTTTTTTTTTTACCGTTGGTGGTAATGTCGGCCGATCGAACGACCGATTTTTCGTTTTTGTTTTTTTTTTTTAAAAAAACGGCTGGCTTTTGACCTGTCTGTTGCTTACATTAGTCCGGCTGGCCCAGCTTTGGGGACCTCTGGTCATAAAAGGTTTCAATGGATGGCAAAGGACTTGGCAGAAGAAAAGGTGCAAATGACATTTTGCAAACAACTTGGAATAAAGCCGATACTATTAAAAACAACCCTAAAATGTTGGACCCCGCCCCCCGAGGGTTAATAAATCTCCCCGGCTCCCCATAGGGCCCCTGTGTATATCAGTAGATAAACCTGGGACCGGGCCGATGACATAACGAGATGTGAATGCCGCGGCTGCGGGCGAGGATGTAGCTACGATGGCGGGGCGAGAGATTACCGCCGAACGGAGATGAAATCTGACTGTGATAAAACAGCAAACAAATAATGTGGAGCAGCTTGTCCAACTCTGTAGCAGACCGCACCGCGAGACGTTGT